ATTATTTAAGCCAAGCAAAATTACCGAAAAAAAAAACAAACCGGGGGATGGAAGCTTATCGTTTTGCTATTATTAATTTTAAAAGCTATCGAATTAATTATAATAAAGCAAATTGCTAACGAAGCGAAAAAAAAAGGCATTTTCTTTAAGGGCCAAATGGGCAACTAACGGATTAAAAGTACGGAATTAGCAATTCAAAAAGTAATGGAAACGGTAATTGCAGCATGGAATTACGGCGTTACCGCGTTATTGCTACAATTTAACCTATTTAAAACATTCGATACCGTTAATTACTTTTAATTGTTAAATACGCTAAAAAAATACGGCTTTTTTTTACCAATCGTAAAATAAGTAAAAGGGTAACTAGCAAATAAAACGGCCATTTTGCAATTTAACGGCAACATTTTAAACCCGATTCCAATTCGAACCGGAATTTTTTAAAGCTTTCCTTTATCCTTTATATTTTTTATTATATATATTGCATTATTGTATAAAAATTTTAAAAGCATTTTAAGGATTTTCGTTACCGGTTTTGCTAACGATACCAATTTATTAGCAATAAAAAATACCGCAAAAAATACGGCCCGCTTTTTGGAAATAATTTAGCCAAAATGCAAAGCATGGGCAACCAAATACGGCATAAAATTTAACAATACCAAAACCAAATTAATTTATTTTAATAAGGACGAAAATTCGCCCGTAATTCGATTCGGCGATATAACGGTAGCTTTTAACCAAACGGTTAGGTTTTTTGGGGTTTGGCTAAACGCTTGCTTTAATTTTAAAAAATATATAAAAAAAGCAAAAAGCAAGCAAAAAAAGCAATAATTAGCATTTATTTAATTTATTTTGTTAACGTAAAGCAATACGTTTGCAAAAGGAAAGCTTTTTTATAACGTAATATGCCGTACGGCTTTAGCATATAGCGCAATAGCTTTCCGTATAGCTATACCGGCAACGGGCCGCTTTAAAAGCGCCGCTAAATAGCTTTAAAAAAAATAGCGCGCGTATTTAAAAACCATTGCCGGGGCTTACAAAATTACTTTGCTAGCCAATTTCGAAATTAAATGCTTTACCCCCCCAATCGATTTGTATTTAAACGAAAGGGTATTAAAAGCAAAAAAAAAATGGTAAAAATTTGGAATAAAAAACGTAATTCGAACCGGTATTAATAAAATGCAATAATATTTTTAATAATTGGAATATTGTAAAAAAATAAAGGTACCATACCCATTTAGCTTAGCAAATAAGGACCGGTAAGCGCAAAAATGGGACCCGTTAAAACCTTTTAAACCCAAGCCCGGCCCCGCCCCGGCAATTACTTAAAAAGCGATTAGGACAAAAGCTAATGCCAAAGCATAAAAATTAACGGATCGAAAGCAAAAAAAAAAAGGAAAGGAATGGTTTAAAATCGAATGGAACGTTAAATGCAAAGAAATTCGCGTTATAGCAACGAAAACAAACCCATTTCGGCCCGTAACCCCCGCGAACAAACCCAATTTTAACGGTTTAATGCTAAAAGCATACCAAAAATTTACCAAAGCTTAAAGCGCAATGGCCATTTAATTAAAAACGGAAAAATTGAAATTAAAAGCGTTTTTTTAAAATAAAAACGTTTTCGACGTGCATACGCCTCGTTGCCCGTATAAAACCGGGCAACGGGAAATAACATTTTACTTATTTATTAAATGCCCTTTTTATACCAGGTGGAAAATAGGTTCGGGCTGGAAAAATATAAGCCACTGCAAAGTATATTTCGAACGATAACAACAAAAAATAAGCATTACTACCGGAATTAATACGGATTAAAACAGCCCCTTTTTGCCCCCCCTTTTTTGTTAGCAATACGTTTAGCAATTAAAACAAATAAATTTAACGATTTTAAAGTGGTAAAAAAAAACGACCGATTAAAAATGCAAATACCAAAAGAACGAATCGCTCCAAACAAATAACTTAACGCTAAATTAATAACCGAATACAATTACTTTAATTACTAACCTAATATAAAAAAGTTACGATTATACGCTTAACCATACCCAATAGCATTTAGCAATAAATTTGGAAACGAATTGCTGCTTTACATATTTTAGCGCGTGCGGATTTTTTCCCGCGCTATTTCCAATACCCGGTTAAAAAACGCCAGGTTATTTTTATTATTACTTTGCTTTACAATTGCTATATTTAATTGCTTACATAAATTAAAAAATGCAAAAGCAACGAAAATAATACTATTACCAAAAAGGCATTGGCATTTACTAATTATTAAGCTTGCGTAAAAGCAAGCTTTTTAACCTTTAAATTGTTAGCGATTTTTGCAGCATCGTTAGTACGCAATAAAGCGTTAAAAGCTTTCGAAGCGTAAAAAGCAAAGGTTTAAAGCACCAATACTATATTGCTGGAAAAGGACCGTATAAATTTCGAACCAATAGCACCGGTACTTATAAAAACCCCGGCGCCAAAAAAAAAAGCATCCGAAAACGGTTAAAAGCAAAACCAGTACCGGTGGGCACCCCGAATTTGTTAAGCCCGTTTTTGTTAATACGCCGGAATGTATAAACTTTAGCAACCAATGCGTTATAAGCCGTTTAGCACCGCATTATACCGTTAACAAATTAATAAAGTACAAAAAGCCAATAAAATTAAAGCAATTTATTAAATATTTGCGGCAATTACTTAACCCGAAATTGCGCATATTTTTAGCTTTAAAAAGCGATTGGTAATATTTAGCAAAAAGCACGGCCGCAATACAAGCTTTTTTAATAGCAACGGGGTAAAGTTAAAGAAAAATACGTTAGCAATCCGGCCAAATAACGGAAAAAAAAGGAAAAAACGATTTACCGTATTATACCAAATGTTCCAATTGGCATAAAAACGATAAAATAATGCGTTCGTATTTAAAAAAATTAGCAAATTAGTAAATAAAAAAATTACCCGGAATTACAAAAAAAACGAACCAATTTTAAAATAACAAACCGCAATTTTACTAAACCGTTTTTTCCCGCTTTACTTTTTACCCAAATTATTAAACAAATAACCAATACAATTTACGCAAATGTTACGCGCAAAATTAAATAATTAATTAAAGCGCAAACGGGAAAAAAACGAAAAAAGCATTTACGTTATTTAATAATAAAGCAAAATGCTTTTAAGGATTTTCGTTAAAGCATTTATTGCTTTACGGGTTATAAATTTATATCGTTAAACGAAAAAATTAAATTAAAATAAAAAAACGAAAACGATTTAGCGGCAAAAAAATAAAAAAAAATAAATTATATAATTAGCGTTAACCCGCGCGTTGCCGCCGTTGTTATTATTAGCGCTAAAAAAGCCGTTGCTATTATTAAGCACTTTTACCGGGGGAGTACGGAAAGCGGGCCGGGTAAAAAAAGCGTTAAAAGCAACGGAATTGGAAAAAGGAAAAGTAATAATTGTTATTTAACCATTATTACAAGCGCCGTTACCGTTGCGGTTAACGCGTTTAACAAAATTAATTTTAGCCGTGCTTTTTTTTTAAAAAAAAGCCGTTAATTGGCATTGTAACCAATTAAAATTAAAAATAAAATTGGGAATGGCCGGAAATAAAAAAAAAAGGTGCAATTAAGCGCCGGAAATAAAAAGCGCGCTAAAAAAAATTGGAACGATAAAAATTAACCGGAAGCAATGCAATAAAAAAGTAACGGTTAAAAAAAGGAAGTATTGCATTAAAAAAGGAAAAAAGTTAAAAAAGAAAAGGTAAAAAAAAAAAGGGAAAAGGAAAAAGGAAGGGAAAAAAGAAAAAAGCAAGTAAAGCAAAAGGAAAGCACCGGCGAAAGAATAACCTTTTTAAACCCGCCCGAAGCTATTACGCCGGCAAAAAAAAGCACAATTACTTTCCAAATATAATTACTTACTCCCAATAAAGCTATAAGCACCCAAATAACAAATACAAAAAGCACCGCTACCTTAACGAAAGCAATTAAGCACCGGGCTAATAAAAATACGCACAAAAACGTTAACAAAAATAATTACCAATATTTAATTACATAAAAAAAAATAACAATAAAAAACGAATTACATTATACCGGATACGAACCGTACCCGGAAGCATAACGCAAAGCCGGAAAGCGCGAAGCGCTAGCTTTACGCAATAACCACCCGGCTAGCTAAGCTTTTGCTTATTAACGGCAATTGCCGGAATTACCCCGAAATAATAGCGCTTTTTTAAAACCACATTTTTTATACGTTTTCCTTATAATTTTTTTATATGTTAGCCCTTACCTTTACTTTACCATTATACCCTTTTGGCCGGGGGTACGAAAACGCTTTTTTGCCGAAGCATTTATTAGCAATCGAACGAACTATAGTAAACGGAGCCGGCGGTTTAATACCGACCCGGCACCGGTTCGTAAGCGCAAAGTTTTCCTCCTTAAGCCAAACCCAAGGGTTTCCCTTACGCAACATTTAGCAATAGCATTAAGGTCTTTTTTATAAACAGAATAAAGTATAAATATATAAATATATTTATATATACGTTATATAATTTCTTTATTTTTAAATAACGCATTTAGCAAAGCGTGCAGTAAAGCGTGCAATAAAGCGTGCATAAAGGGTGCAGCAAAGCGTCCACGTTTTTTTAATGTAATAACCCTTTGCACGAAATTCCCTTATTTACTATCTGCAGCCCGCAACAACAACGCGTGCACTCAATTAAAAATTCCCAACAACAATGTACCTTGCAATGTTAGTGCAACGGAATCTTTTCCCGCAAAAATTGCTTTTTTACTAACACATTGTTAAGGAAGGAGGTATTTTTACACGTTGCAGCCCGCAAAAAGATACAATCTTAGTACCTGTGTTTTTCCCATATCCTAAAACCGGTTAAAAGTAAATTATAATTTGTATTAAAAGTATGTTTAATAACCTCGTTATCCATTATTTAATTAAAGAGAATAATCCGCCACAGTACAGTGTTTCTCGCTCCTTGTCGGAATTATCGACGCGACTGGACGGTGCCCAATAGGATGTTCTCTCGCTCACCATGCAACCCCTGGGTGCCAGCAGCCGGCGGGTTAGGCGTGGTTAACCCCGAAACCCTGAGCACTCAGCCGCGGACCGTCCAACCCGAAACAATTCCCGACTCCTCCTCCTCCGGAAAGCATTGGATCGAGGCCAAGGCTTGGGAGGATAACCCTCCGGCGCTCGGAAGGAGAACCGCGCGCAGCAGGCGGCAGGCCTATGGGCCTTCCATTTTCCCCACGCGCGGGGTATTTTGCCTGGCTCAGCCCAACGCCCTCGTGCAGTCGGAAAGGGGGTCTGCTTCCTGCCCGATCTGGCGCACACGCTAGGCTGTCGCCCCAGATCCTGTACGACCGCCCTATCGCGGCATGGTCGGGCGAGGAGGCGGCTGTCAATTCCCGCCCGATGAGCTGCATCACGGCCAATCGTCGGCGTATTCAACGCTTTTCGCCAACTATCTAGGTCGGCCACGCGCCCGACCTGCCCTTCCCGTGTCATGCGGATTTGCCGGGGTGGTATGGAGGGCTTATCCTATCCAGCCATCCAGCGGCCTACAGCAGGCTGCGGGTTTTATGGCATGCGATTGGCAACAAGCCCGTATCAGAGTCGTTTCTATCGAATGAAGCAGGATTCCCCCACAGTCGGTCAACTCCTGGAAGAGTTGTCAACGCCAGCGCCTAAAAAAGGGAAGGTTAGGGGGGGGGGATCTGCATATAAAAAAACTCTCCTCCCCGTATGTAATCGATCAGCCAGCTAGTTAGCTCTTTTTTTGCTTTGCCTTACTTTACTTGCATATTTGCCATCTTTTTTTACGCATTTTCCCATTGCCTGCGTATCCTTATCCACCCCTTTTTTGCATTTTTTTCTGCGTATATTTTTCTCTGTCAATCGCATACCATGTCTGATTCCAACGATATTTACACTCTCGGCTGGATCTCGGCCATCCCTTCCGAATTCGTTGCTGCTAGATTCTTTCTCGACACACAACCCTGCCGCCCTAAAATCCTCGACCCGCACGACACCAATTCTTACAGCCTTGGCAAGATCGGACATCACAATGTCGTTATGGCCTGCTTGCCTGACGGAGAATACGGAATTACGGCGGCGGCTGTCGTAGCCACAAATATGCTGCGCAGTTTCCCTAACATCCGCTTCAGTTTGATGGTTGGTATTGGAGGCGGCGCGCCGAGCTCAAGGAACAATATGCGACTTGGCGATATCGTGGTCAGCAGTCCCGTCGATGGCGAAGGTGGCGTATTCCAGTACGACTTTGGGAAGTCGATTCAAAATCGTGCTTTTACCCATACAAGGCACCTAAACCAGCCGCCAACAGCTCTGCGAACGGCAGTAAGCGTCCTGAGAACCCAACACAAAACCGATGGCCATCGGTACGAAGCCCAAATCGCCGAGCTATTAAAAGGGAAAAGGCGATCTATCCTTGCAGAATTCTCTCGTCCACCTCCCACGAGCGACAGGCTGTATATGCCCACGTTTGTGCATTTGGACGATGATAAAAGTTGCCAAGCTTTATGCGGCGATCGTCCGGAATATTTGGTCCCCCGGCCAGAACGAGAGGAGCCGGAGGATGGGGAAGATTTCGCCGTCGTCCACTACGGATTAATCGCCAGCGCTAACCAGCTGATGAAGGACGCTACAATTCGTGATCAGCTGGCATCGATGAAGCGCGTCCTTTGCTTCGAAATGGAAGCGGCCGGCCTGATGAACAACTTCCCTTGCCTCGTTATCCGGGGCATTTGCGACTATTCGGACTCTCACAAGAACAAGGAGTGGCAAGGCTTTGCCGCTATGATGGCGGCAGCGTATGCGAAAGACCTTTTGTGCCAGATCGTGCCCAGCCAGGTCGAGGAGGAAAAGCAAGCAGATAAATACGTGCAGACTGCAAACAGCGCACCCGATTCCCTCAGATCCAACGCCCGCATCGCCACCACCACCACACCACCGACCCAGGCGGCCACCATTACGGGTACCCCCAGCGTCGCCTGCACGCAGGGTCTCGAATCCGCCCTCTACAACATCGCCCCGGCCACCCCTGAGTACAACAACCTGTGGAGTGCCAAAGGCGCGCTTCCAATTCGACCCCTGCCCGGGGATCGCGTAACGCACAACTATTACAACCAACCAGGGCCCGGCCCGAATCTCCAAGGGAGTCAGGGTTAGTAGCTCTTGTTTTTAATTCGGGACATTGTGTTACGTTTGGGAAAGGCTAACGCTGACCTCTTTTAAGCGCGTCCGTCTAGCCACAAACAAACCGCAAAGAGCGTCTTCGAAGAGCATCTCAACATTTACGAGACAACGAAAATGACGTACGGCTTCGACCATCCGGATACGCTGCGGGCCGCACACAAGGTGGCGAGCATGCTCAAGAACCAGGAGAAGCTCGCGGCCGCGCTCGAGTGGTACGACAGGATCTACAAGAGTTGGAAAAAGACGCTCGTTCCCGATCACCCGCAGACTCTGCAGGCTGCGCGCGATGTGGCCGACGTGTTGAAGGAGATGGGCAAGGACGCGGCCGCGCTCGATTGGTACGACAGGATCTATCAGGGCAGGAAAGCCACCCTGGGCCCAGACGATCCGGAGACCTTGCAAGCTGCGCACGGAGTTTCTAGGATGTTAGTGAAGCAGGGCAAACGAAAGCTGGCTATTGAGTGGTACGAGGCCATACTGAAGGCCGGAGAGAAGCTCGTTCCCGGACATCCAGCGATCGTGGAGGCCGAGGCGGCTTTGGCAGGCATACGAGTAAAGAGCCGATTTACACGAGGGCTGTGAAGTAAGAGCAGGTACAACATGAGAAACTTTAGAACGCATGATTAGGCATTCGGCATTCTGTAGCAACGAAGAGGGAGTGCAGTAGGACCATTGATAGGTTGACCTGTCTCTAGAGAACGAAAGAAAGTAGTTTGGGGGTAGGAGGGCCTCCGGCCCTTTACATAAAGCTTCTCAGGGGCCAGTGCCCGGGTGCTCATGTGCCGGGTGCTCTCATGCCCTTGGTGCGCTTCCAAAACCCTTCTCCACAGCTCACTACACACTGGTATCCACCTGCCTCTGATACATTCACTGGTAGTGCTACTATGGCTTCGGATCTTCGTTCCTCGAATTTTTGTGCCACAGGTATACCGCGATGCAGATAATAAGAAGCACAACAGCCCCCCCAACCGAGCCGGCGATAATTCCAGTTTTGTTGTCGTCGCCGCTGGGGCCTGGTGGCGCCGACGAGGTTTGTGTGCCTGACGCCGACGAGGTGCCTGTGCCCGATGACTTTAACGACGTTGATGCTGGTGTGGTCGTGAGTAAATCCGCAAGGATGATGTCCCAATACCGCCCGGTGGTATCGGTAGGCCCCATGAATGCTTGCAGGCTGTCGGTATACACATCTAGGTACAGCTCGGGCCCGGAGTGGTCGTTTGACAGCTTATACGTTTTGCCGCCAATGTCGGCCGTAACTGTCCAGCTCTGGCCGGTTAAATCGCGCGGCACGGTGAGGTGTGGGTACGTTTTGTTGCTTGAAACACCGAGGCACAGCGGCTGGCCGGTTTGCTTGGTGCAAATGTTGAACCGGAGAGCGTCGGCCCCAGGGATGAAGTACCAGGAGATAGGGGGGTCGCTTCGGGAGGCATGAAGGCCGTAGTCGGATGTGGAATTGTCCAAAGCTAGGCTTCCGTACGAGTTTGCGAGCTTGTAGAGGGTTGTGTCGGAGGCTGGATGCCACCGCGCCATGGTGGATGCCCGTGATTGATAGGTTTGTTTTCCGACTGCACCGAGGGGGTTTGTGCGGATACTGTTAGCTATTTGAGCGGACAAGGTATGGGCGCTTTTGGTGAGAGATGGGGGGAACCAAACCAATGGAAGAAGATTTGAAGGAAACAACAGGGGTGTAGTAAAACAGCTAAAACGTGGACGCCTGTGATCACTTGATCCAAGCCACCTTTGAGAGCCCAATGTCAAATTGCCAGCAGTTTGGCGTGTGCTGTCTTGATCGCCCAAGCGAATTTTGTGGCGCGGCCTTATGGACGAATGCAGCAAGGTACTTCCTCCTCGATTGCGAGACCATTGGTGCCAAATCATCAAAACGTGCTCGTGGCTACGGTCCAGAGGTAGGTGCCCGGGAATGTGGCTTAAGCCACCGGCCGAGAATCAACAAGCCGGGCGGACAACCCTGCCTTAAAGTGTAATTCCATGCGGGGGAGGTGCGTGTGACGCGCCACTAACTGCAAACTCGGGCAAGCAAAGCAAGCCGTAGTGATAACCAAAAGCATTTGTATTGGCGGCTATTCCGTCGAACATTGTCAAGCTCGAGCATTATGGAGAAGCAGCTCGAGATGCTCAGCAACGTGCCGGGCATCAACAGGCTCTCGCAGGTGGTGGCGCAGGACTTCAACGTCGCCATCAAGCTGCCAGACAACGTCAAGTGCACTGGTGGTACGCATCTCCCTCAACACGACTATACAAAACGGTTGGCTAACATGGGTGCATCCCTTAGGCTCGGCGGGCAACATCTGCACAGTTCGCTCCGAAACAATGCCATAGCCGGGCCGTTTGGTACGTACACCCCGTCAAGAGCTCCGAGATGATAAGCCCGATCCTTGACTGAGCAGGCAAAATAAAACAGGCGGTTGCTTCCCCATCCAGCAGATCGACGTCGAGCCGACGATCAACACGCCACAAAACATCAAAAGCTTCAAGGGCCTGCCGGGTGTGCTGAGCCAGATCGACGGCAACCTGCGCGACCTGGACGAGGCCATAAAGGCGCTGGCCAGGGAGGGCTCGGCCGAAGCCAAAAACAACCTGGAGGCAGGCCACGCCCTGCTCAAGGCCTCGGCCATCTCCAAGCGGTTCCCGACCACGACGCAGCTCGCGCCCACCAACGCCGTGGCCGGCCCCACCTCGGCTGGTGGCGGTGCCAATGCGTCGACCACACCGGCGGCATCGCTGACCTCGGCCGCGGCGACGTCGAGGAGGAGGAAGGGGAAGAGGGTCACACTCACACGCAAGCGGATGAGGCCCACCTCGTCGGCGTCGGCGACGACCACGGCGCCCTCTGGCGGTGCTGCCTCGACTACGGCCGCGGCGACGTCTGCTCTCGCAGCCAGCACGACAGGCACGGCGCTGAGCTCATCCCTGGTGCTCAAGCCCTTCCGTGCCTGAGAATTCTTGTCGGGGCACAAGGAAGAGAACGAGTCCGTGATTTTGCGAGAAGAGTGGCCGGTCCAGAAAGGCAGCCGGGGTTTGTTTCTGCATTTGCATCCCCATTTCCATTGTATATACACATGTCCGGTTCGATAGCTCACCGATGACTTACACAGCTTCCTATATCGAACAAGTCCGATGCCAGGGATGTCATGACGCCGCTATCTACGTTCTCCGAGGGTCCGCTTCGTCTTTTAAGCGACAAGTGTGCTGCTCCGCTTCTTGGAGACGGCCTCCCCTGGCTAGGGGTTAGGTATTGAAGTCAAGTATGTTTCTTCTCGATGTCTCGGGTTCGCCTGGAGCGAACTCACTCACCCTTGAATCGCGCGCTTCTTTTTCCCCCCTGACGCCTTTTGGCGCGAGCGATGCCCCTCCGAGTTTGGCGCCTATCCCAATCGGGTATGGCGCCGTCTCTACACAGTCCGCTACGCGCTAGACGTTTTTCGGCCGCGCTATAAATAGAGCCTCCTCCCCCGATGTCACTTTTTTGTACTTTCGACTTTATATCCTCATTTTTCCCCCATTATTTTTTACTAGGTTTTACTGCTTCGCTTTAACTTTAGTTGTAATATTCTGCTAAAAATCCTGGTATTTTGTTTTATTTTTTAACCCCTGAATCATTTTTTTTTGCTTTTTTTTTGGTTATAAATTGTTTGCTCTTTTTAAGGTTAAACGTTTGCATTTGCGCTTTTCTGCTTTTTTTTTTAACTGGCTGCTTAAGTATTATTAATTTATTTATTATTTTTAATTGCAATTTTAACCCGATTTAATTCGATTTGGTTTTTAATTTTTTTAACGCTACGTTATTTACTTTTTTGCTAAACGTTAGATTATTTTATCCGCCTGTTACGGTATAACCCTAATGACAATGGTCGCCGTTGTGGGAGAACGAGGTTATTAACAAAGGTGCAGAAAGGATCCAGATGGGACCCCTTCCCGTGGTCGCCAAGGGCACTATATACCACGTGGCCACAGCTACACAAGCCACTAAGGCGGTGCAGGCCAAAGGCCGTGCACCGATTTATTACACCGCCTGCAACTTTTAGCTTATTGTTATAAAAGAAACAGTGCATACTGTGGAAGAGGCTTTAAGCATAAATATTAACTGCTTAAGGCATTAAAAGAGCGGTTCCTTTGCTTAGGAGTGTATAACGCTTCCAGGCATTAAAAGGGAAGCTTAGTAAGCAAGGAGGACAAGGAAGTTACGTGTATATAAAGGGCAAAAGCCCTTACAAAGCTTTGCTCTTTAAATCCTTTCCTCTTTAAAGCAAACTAACCGGAACAGCCTTACACCGTGCTTATCCCTTTTGCTTGCAACATTTATTTATTTATTTATTTATTTATTTATTTATTTATTTATTTATTTATTTATTTATTTATTTATTTATTTATTTATTTATTTATTTATTTATTTATTTATTTATTTATTACCACACAGTACCGACTTTGTCCAGAATTTTGCCTGCGTCGCGAAAGTTGCACAATCCATAGCTTCCGATCGAGCCAGCGCTTTATCGCCCATCGTCAATCACGCATCAAAGGTATCTTCGGTCTGCCGCCCGAAGATCGCGCGAGAACGGGACCAAGAAAAGAGCTACGATCCAAAGTCAAACGGCTGGGAGGAAAGAAAACGTGGGAACCTCACGGCAAGCTGATCAAGGACCTGCCCAAGGTGGTGGCAGCGTCGAGGAAGAAGCACGCATTACGCCAAAAACAACAGGGGCCCTTGGTACGCCTTGGGTGTCCAGTATCCGGCGGCGATGGAGCCGGTTTACGAACTTCAAACATATCAACGATATCAACAAGGCAACATTTCACTTCAGTGATTTTTCGTTTTGCAGACTACTATCAGGCTAACCTCAGATCGAGCTGACAACGAGAAGAGGAACACAATTGGAACGCAACTCCCACCCAACAAGGACGGAATGCGACAGGACGGCGGCTAGTTCCATCGGCGCTCGTGGTGTTAAGCTGCTTCCGTTCTTCCAGTACGGCGGCCGGATCGGTAGCATACCACCCGGCGCCGACTGGTCTGTCTCCAACTTTGGAACGCTAAAGTTTAACATCGTCTTCCGCGCCGCGATCGAGACCCACCAGCAGCACGACATAGCCACAGAATTTACCCTTGGGACCAACCGGGGCCAAGGGGTGTGCCCGCGCGCGCCGACAACTAAGGCCTACAGTGGGATCTAGTCGCTTTCATCGCGGCCGTTCCGCCCAACGAGTCCTTCTACCTCGTGGCTCCCGGCCGAGGAACGGCCGAGCTGGCGTCTCTGTCGACTTGTCGCACCACATAAATCCCTGTCAATGGGCGGCGTCTCGGCGGAACTACGGCTGATCAACATTGCATGGGATCAGTGTGTTCTGCGCCACGGCAACCTGACTGAGAGCACTTCGACCGTCGACAATACGATGGGAGAGACCTCCTTGGCGCTGGGCGCTGGCACGAAGTTGACAGGCTACCGTCTGTTTGTCTTCTATCGGAAGCTCACTTTAAGCCGGAACCTTGTTTTCAACGTGGCCCAGGACAAGGCCATATTGAGCAATTGAGCTTTCGTCGTCAATCACTCCGACGGTGCCGGCGCCCGTGTGGCGGACTCTGGGGAGACAACATCCTCACAGACACGGCGATGAAAGAGCTGCCAATAAAAAGGCCAGCAATTATGGTACGCGCCTGCCCACCTTGGTCCATGTTTGTGTTTTCATGTTGTTGACTGACCCTTGCTATTGGGACAGGTCGGGATCACATCCGACATGTCGTGGCTCAAACTGATCTCCGCCAAGCCACTGTCGAAAATGGCATCCTTGGGCCCCGCGGGCCGGCACGGAAGACCATAGTGATCGAGAGCGCCCGGAACCTGACCCTGGGCGCTGTTTCTAAGCTTGAGGAGTATGTTGAAGCTGGTTAGTCTACCGTCATTTTCAGTGGTGGCTCCTCAAGCTACTACCCCAAAAAGGACTGTGGCTCAAGGGCGGAATTTACTAGCTAGCTCACGAAACTGATGTCAAGCACCAAGGACCACCAAGTTGCCGCCGATGGCGTGGCCGCGCTTCTTTCCTCGCTTGGTCTAAGCCCCCGGGTCAAGGCCTACAGGAACAGTACCTGGTACACTGTCACAAAAGAGGCTATCACCAAGGGCCGGCACACTGTTCCAGGCCTTGGCACGGAGGATCTGCACGCGCACCCGGCACGGATGCTCCGCACCGGTGCTGCGCCGGGCAGATGCTTACCGAGCACCCGTCGGCAACAACAGGGGTGTGGTGATGGGTACTATCGCATCAAGGGAACCGTAGGGGGGAAAGACGTAAATATAAGGCTACCCCGAAGGGTGCCAGGAGTATCTATCGCCTAACCCTCGTATATCAATCAAGACGTGGGCGATCTATCTGTGCGTGTCGTGCGCCTCCAAAGAAGCCATCCGTGTGCCGTACGGGCGGTGGGTAAAGAGTCCCCCGCCCGTTACGTGACCGAGGTTCCGTGCACCGCACTCAATATGCCCCCTCCCGAAGAAAAAGGCATCGTCCTCGGATGCAAACAAGGATGTTAAGCGGTACTCTTTCGCCGGAAGACAAGTCCTTCCATTGACTAATTTCTTTTTTGTCTCGTCTCGTTCTCCATCTCAAATCCATCGCAATCAATCAAGCAAATTCCGTGGCAATGTACTGACTGGGTGTGCTGCTGGACGTTCCGGAAGCGGCTCTCGTCGTCGCAGGTATCGAAGCTCGTTAATCACCACATACTCTCGACCTCGACACCACCTCCATCTCCGTAAGTCCTAACAACCTCCTCGGCAGCTCCCCGCTCACGATCCTTCTTGGCTTTATCCAGCCGGCTGTAGAAGGCTTGCTCTTGCTTGGCCTCCTCCGCGGCAACTTCCTTCGCCAAGTCCTTGAACAATGCCGCTGTCGCTGTCTGGAGCTCCCGCGCAACACGTCGACGACCATCCGCTGTGGTCTTTCCCAGCTTCCTTACTGTGACTTCTCCTCCCCAGATCCTGGGCTTGACAGCTGGCTCCGGCTCGGCCTTCTTCTTGTGGTACTTCGTGGTGGTTTCGCCAGCTACCTTGCTGGTATCCTCGTCCGCATCCTTGTTGCCATGGTAAATTCCCATCACTCGGGCTCGGATGTCGTCTGCGCTCAGTTGGGGTTGCATAGGCTTGCCTCTCATTGCTCCCCTGCACTTGTATGCCTCGTGGGAATTGCCGCACAGAATGCAGTAGTCCTTCATAAACCGCCTCTCTGGGGTCCAGATTCCCTGCTGTGCGTCGATTTTTTCCTTGAACGCCCACAGGTCCTTGTCGCCGATGCTGGTCCGTGCCTCGCAGGTGGTGCAGGACATGATGATGATCGTTCCCAGTTTTCCGCGACTGTGCGAGATCACCATGTTGTCCCGCGAGCTGGTGAATCCTGAGCGGCGGTCGTCCCTCGAAAGGATAACGACTGCGTAGTCCCAGTCCTTGCTCATCGATCCTCGGCTGGTTCGGACATCGACTCTGTCGTGAACAATGTCCGTCTTTGGCACCTTGTTCAGGGCCTGTCGGACATTCTTGCCCTGAGCTCCGTATGGGCAGATCACGCCGACGTCTGGAACCTGTTCTCCGTCTGAGGATAGGCCATATTGTTGCAGCTTGCGGACAGCATCGATGGCCAGCTTGGTGTGAACCTCATTCTTGTAGCTGGTTCCGACTTGGACGGCGTCCTTGGTCTCTGCGTTCCAGATGACAATGCGTGCTGGGGTCTTCGGAGTTCCGATGATGTTCTCATCAGAGAACATCCTGTCGGCTGCCAGCTCCGCATTGTTCTTTTTGGCTCCTCCCTCTACCTGCTGATCCCTGATGGAAACCATGTCGCCCCGGTACCAGCGTTCCGAAATGAACTCTTCTTGCTGTCCGCTTTGTCGCAGTGACTTCATCAGGCGGGTGATTGGCTGTCTGCAGTTCATCCATCTCGTCATAAGTGGAGTGGCCAGTTGCTGTGCTTTCTGACAGTATGTACCTTCTCCGAAACCCGACTTGCCCACGCGGAAAGCTTTGGTTCCGAAGACGAGGGGCGGGGACTGATTCGGATCTCCTGTCGTAACCCGGAGCTGGGCGTTTGGACATGCCGTCACGGCGACAAGCCACTCTGGCTCCGTGAGCCGGCCTGCCTCCTCCTGCAGCACGGTTCGGACCTTGTCGCAGATGTTTGGATGATGGTTCCTGAGGGTGTGCAGAGCCGTTGGAGTCGCCACGATAACATCTGCCTGATCCAGGAGTTGCTCTGCTGCAATTTTGCAGGCCTCCTTGAGCACTGCGAGGTTGTTCTCGAAGGCCTGTGGGTTGACCTTCCGATCGCGGATGAGTTCCCAGGCGGGCCTGTAGTTGACGTCTGTGCTCATCAGGCTCAAGACTTGCTCGCCGAGTGCAAACTCGCCGCCGTGGGGCCGGCGGTCTTTCTTTGTCGCGTGAGTGTCCCTGGCCAGTTCCAGGATGTCTCGAGTGATCGCATGGAGTGTGATCTCGTCGACCTCATCGAAGTCATCCTCACGTCGGGCTCGGTTGGTATTCATGACGTATCCCTCCTCCCGAGTCCAAGTGTTCATTCGGATGATTTTGAGCTCTGACTTCCGGATCCTCCTGTACTCCGCGGACAGGCGCTCACAGAGGTCATTGCCCTGCATGTTTTCACTGCAGGTGATGACCACCTTGTTCCGGCCATCCTTCTTGTCTTCCTCGGGTGCCAGCCCGCCCCGGGTCTCCCGAGGCAGGGTTGGCTTGGCCTTGGTGATGCCCTTGTGCGTGTCGATCTTGTCCTTGATGATTGCGATAATCAACAAGAGGCCCACCATTGTCTTGCCTGATCCTGGGGCGCCGTGGATGACCAGGTGTCCGTACGGCAGACCCTCGGCGAGGAACACCTTTTTCTGGTCCGAGTTGAGCGACTTGAACGCGGTGTGTAGGTCTTCCTCACCAGGCTCCGGTGTGCCGGCTATGAGACGGCCGATGGTTGGGAACATGTTCGGCAGGTGCACCAGCTCCTTTGGTCTTCTCAGATCCTTGATGAATGCGGCTGGTCCCTCCGTGTCCCCGTCCGCCTGCAGGGCTAGGTTGTTGATGGCTGCAACGCATGCCTTCATCGGGAGACCTTGGTGCTCGGGCAAGAAGTATCCTGCAACCTGGTACGCATCGTTTCTCAGGTGGTACTTGTTTGTGACGTCGACCCACGGAAGTTCGAATGTGAGAGGAAGGGGTCGTGGGGGCTCCTCTCCGGTCGTCGGGTGCTTCCATGTGGGCCAGAGGGGGTGCATGGGCATGTAGGCTATGAAGGCTGCGTCTGCCTTGCTGATGAGGTCGGTTGGCATGTCCACACGAGTGGCCTTCAGGGGATATTGATCCTCGGGGTCTGGTGCCCAGTCTGGGGTCTTGATGTTTCCCTTGTTTTCGAGGGCCCACTGCATCACGCGGTCTTTCCATGCTTGCATTGTCTCGCGGATGACCGCGCCGTCCTCCCGTGTCTTCCTTGGCTTGAGTTCGAGGTACCATCCCTCGACTGTCTTCCTGAGCTTGTCCCGTTCTTCCTCGCTCATGTTCTCGGGGGCCTTGTCGCTCATGTACAGGCGTGCCAGAGTTTTGAGAATCACGACGTCGCACTCCTCAGTCTTGCCTCCCGCGCCAGCTTCTGCTTTCTCAAAGCCTCTGATGATCTCGCGGGCGCGGACCTTGCTCTCCTCGCCGTCGCTTCGAGGCCAGTCCGGCAGCTCCGGGCCCTTGTAGCTGACTTTGACGAGCTTGAGCTTGCACATCTGATCCATTCGAGGGAGGAGCTCCGGATATTTAGCGTTGGCGAGGAGGAGACATTCCATCACGTGGCCTTGGACACAGCGCACCTTGACGGCGCGCACCTTGACCTCGGTCTGGCGCATCTTGTCTGCGGACAACCTCTGGAGCATATTCTCCTCGATCACCGCGCGCCCCAGGTCGAGCGTCATGGAGCCTTGGTCCGGCCAACGATTGCGCGCGGGGTCTGGTGCCTTGCTGGTGCCGGCCCGAGCCTCAAAGTTGGGAATGTCGATGAGCTGCTGTCTGGGAGAGGCCTTGAAGTAGTCCTTGCCGGGGTGACCTCGGGTTGGGGCGAGCACCACGAATTCCAGCTGATCCAGCGTGTCCGTTGCTCCAGCGTTGCACTCCGTGGGAATGAACAAGTCAATTCCCACGAACACATGCTCCTTTGCCTCATCAACCTCGGCTCGGAACTTCTTGAGTTGTTCCACGACGCTGGCCAGACCCTTTCCCACCTCCGTCACCTTGCGTTCCAGATACTCATCGTTTATGTCAACGATGATCCCGCTCTTAAGCGTCTTGAAGTGGGCTCGGGTGATCTTCCGTGGCTTGACCTCACTCCACAGGATGTTGTGCAGGTATGTTGGCAGCGCCTGGTCACCCCAAATGGTCTCAAATTTGGGCTCCCAGCAATGCTTGGCTGAGAAGGCAATGGTAGCGACCTGCATTCTCTTGACAGACGCCTTGTAGTAGATCTTGACCTGAATTTCTCCCCAGCTGTGGGCCAGTTGCTTCACAGTCACCGCTGACGAGTTGCCTCTGCCTGGTGCCGACGGCTCCATGCGTCTGAAGCTTTCTTTGTAGTTGACCAGATTGCTTCCGTTCACGGCACAGAGTCCGTCAACCTGCTGGTCCTCGGTCAGGATCTTGGCTGCCATCGTGCATGGTAGTTGTTTGAAGTGATCCCGATGTCGTCTGACGCTTGCTTGGTAGTTGATGAGGAAAGAAAAACGAGAAGGAGGAGGGTGCAGAACCAGAGTTGTAAAATCTCTGATAGTGAAATTGTGTGGGACCCACAATTTCCGTCGAGTTCCAAACGGAAGGAACGATCGCCTGCTCTCAAAATTAGGTTGAATCTCGTCCTGGGGATGGAGGAGCTGGTAATGAGTCAAATAGAAGGTGGTTGTTTGGTGTTCGCATTCGGTAGCTGATATAGTTTACTTGTTTGTGCATGGTCTCGTCGCCAACCTGCACCGGAGGTTCCCAGACCGTGCCTGGGTCCCCCGATCTTGTCCTTTACGCCTGCGCGAAGGCGTCTCCGTCCACTGTCGGGAGATGATGTTACTTGTTCAGCGAAGCCCGACGTGCACCAAAACCCAGCTGGCACCGCCTACCGGACGGAGCGAAGCGAGGGGGAGGTAGGTAGGTGGAGGCTGGGTTTTGGTGCACGGAAGGTGTCACGGTAGTGAAGGGAAACAGAGAAAACAGTGGTACAAGTGGTAGGTAGGTAAGGTCATGAGGAGCCAAAGAAGAACCTCCAGGCCGGCCGCGGGCGCACGAAATATCTCGTGCGGGCGGCCCCACCCTTATCGCCCTTATCGGGCGGGGTGGTCCTCTGGGCCCACTCTTCGAAAAGGCTCTTCTTTATTTATTTAGCTTTAGGCCAATAAATAATAAATAATAAATAATAAATAATAAATAATAAATAATAAATAA